ACGGTTTTACCTGATGTGTACAAGATTTATGAATCCGGTAAAATTTCTTTGAATCGGTGGACGTATTTTAAAGCTATCGCGAATTTTGTGATTTTCGAAAAAAATAGAGATCTGACTTCAAGAGTCGTTCGCGATTGCATCAAGGCATCGGAATTGGAAAAAAAATACCCTTATTATAGAGCAAAAAAGGCAATTAGGAGGACGATAAATTGTTCAAGTATTGTTGCACGAGGATACTATCGACCCTAAACCAAATTGAATTTTTTTTTATGACTAATGAGGAGTTTAAGTCTGGTTACCTTGATATGAATCAAGTGTAAAAGGTTTTAGAAGTTGATTTTTAAAGGAAATGTGATTCTTTACAAATTTTATTTTGTCAGTTATTTTATCAAAGTTAATAGTATCTGAGATTTGTAAAATAATGAAGATAAAAACATGTTTTTTGACCGTCTTTCAGTCATATGAAATATATTTATTTTTCTAAATTATAAATTGTTTAGAAAAAAAAATTTGTACGGGTAAGTTAAGTAACTTTTTATTGTATAAATAAAGTACTTCGCTTTAAGTCCCTACTTGAATCGATACATCATTGGGACCGGTGTGACAAAGGGGTGTGGGTTTGTTTGGTTATAGGGGGTGAGCTGTGGGATCACTCGACCAGGAAATATAACCGCTATCTGTAGACTATCAGGAAAAATTAATAACGCCTCGCCCTCCCGAATCCATTCCATATGGATGCAATAATAAAAACATTAAAAGGAAAAAAAAAAGCAAGAGTGTAGAGTGACAAAGCGGCTGGAGAGTGGGGAAACTGCGACAGATGGCGCCCCATTTCGGATTAGCCGGTTGTAAGCCGGTGATCCCCCCACAACGACCGCATTATCATAATTGAAGTGTTTTTGATTTAATTTTAAATAATACTCACATTATACAGACCCGAATCGGATTAAATACATTAATGAGGACCTCATTCCTGCTATTCGCGTTCAAATTTTATCCCAGCGTACATGGATAATTTGAAAAGGTATTAAGAATCCATGAGTACATTGAATAATGATCGAGATCTTTTTTGGTAATTCATACTAATTAATTTTAACACTAATGTATAGACCAGTGTCAACTTACTACTGGATCCTGAGAATGCATTTATGAGAAACCAGCCAATGTTGACAGTCAATTAGAAATATTACTACATAGGTCGATGCCATTGTCGTGTAGATGTAGTGTAACGATTTGGCAGTAGGGTTAGGGTGGAACGAGCACAACTCCAACTGCGTCCTTGGAGGTGTTGTTAAACCATCCACCACTCCATATTTCAAACCATGGACAAGCCAGAGCAGCGGCTCGCAGGCTCATAAATGGACAACCATCTGCTGGTATAGGCCATGTCAACGAACAACGCAAACTGAGGGGGGAGATACAGGTATGCCAAACGATGCCACTACTCAAAAATGTAACTTCACCAACAGGTACAACATACCTAAACGAGAAGGGAAGTGGGCCAAAGGAATAACCCTGAAGGCCAACTTCTACTGGTATACCGACGGCTTAAAAACGGATAAAGGCATGTCAGATGTATCCGCAGATCGACCTTACTTTATACTTAAATAAATACGCTACTGTTTTCCAATTAGAAATCATAGGAATTGAACAAGCTCTAAAGAAATAAAAAGGCTAGGAACACATTCCAGGAAGATTTTCTGTGAGAGTCAGGTGACACTTAAGGCCTTAGCCTCATGCGATATAAAGTCAAAAGCGTATGGAATTGTATGGAAGCCCTGGCAAAAGTCAGTGACACCAATGGCCTGGCCCTGGCAGGGTCTCAGAGCGCTCGGGGCATAGTGGTAATGGAGAAAGTGAACAAATTGGCCAAAAAAAGCCGCCAATATGAATTCTCTGGGCCCTGAACCCTAGCCTAGCATCTTTCTACAAAAAAGGACATATCCAAAAATGGATCCTTAATGAGTCCGGCACCTGGTGGACCAATACCCCAGGCATGAGGCACGCGAAGAGATTCTCAGGATGGCCTTCCGCAAAATTTACAAAGGAATTGCTGGTGTGTAACCGCAATAGAACCAGATCCTGGTTGGACCTTTGCAGGGCGCTGCCGCTTAAGAAGACATACGGGATAGGAATACAGAAGAAACATTGTGCAGATACTGCTAGGAAGAAGAGGAGATTGCAGAACACGTTGTATGTTTTTGCGAGGTTATGTAGGTGCAGGTTCTTGCAACTAGGACAAGAAAAACCGCAATCGAGATCCTACTCTAAGAAGCCGCTGGCAAAGCAATGGAGGCTGATTAACAACCTGAAGCTGGCCAGTGAATGACTAAATATAGAAAAACATAATGGATCTACTCAGATCGAGGTGCAGAAGGCCTTGTAGCCTCTTTTATCTCTATCCCTTTCCCTAGAATGGAACGAAAGCTTGATGTGCGACTATTGAAAGCTGAATCAAGTTTGACGCCTGATCGGTTCAGTTCGTCGACAAGAAAGAATTGAGACCGATAGGTGAGGTTAGTAGTATTATAGAGCTTTGGCAATTTGTCTGAGATCTTGGAAGTCTTCTCTTGATTGGAAGAATTGGTTACGCTGGAGATTGGATTTCGTATGTTCAAAGAGGTCGCAAAAATCTTGGGTAGCGTTAGTTGAGTTTGGACAGTCAAAACAGATTTTGGTCTTAAAAATGTTTGTATTTCTTGGATTATTCAGTCTGCCGCTTAAGTAATACTATGTTGACTTAAGTGGAAGTTAGTAGCTCCTGTTGACGTGCAGTGGAGGGCAACACTATTTTTTTAAAATGTAAATGTACACGGTGTTAATTTTCCTTGTTCAGTTTTGTCCGTCACTTTTTCCATTCTTTGATAAACTCAATCTATTCTTGGATGCTGTAGGTGGCTTGGGTAGAAGGCAAAACTGAGGTGTCATCCGCATAGGTTGTAATAATGGTGTTGATTTATAAGAAAGTCAAGTGTAAATGGTATACGGTATGGGATCAAGAATACCCTCTTGTGGGACACGGCTTCTATCGGTCTGTTATCTTAGCAGGAAAATGTAGATTTCTGCTTAAGAAGTAGGGTTAGGATGGATCGAGAGCTTGTGGAACTTTAGGAAGCGGGATCAGTTATTTGACAAAAAGAATGTTGTGGTCAGGCTAGTTCGCCTAAGAAGCTTGGGGCATTAAACCTTTGAACCATATCAATGGTGTACTGCAGGTTTCTATGATGAGGCCGGTCATATTCTTACTTAACATTAATGACATACCATGAAATTAGTACTTAAAGGAACCAAATTTTGAAAGCTAATATTTAAGTCGCTTAATCTTGTGTGAGGATTCCACATCGGCTTTCTGTCGAAGTACTGTCCTAAATATCTGACTTGAATGAAAGTCTTTAGCTTCTTGTTATTGAGTCCAGCGGAAGGCTAGACGGGTTTTTTCAATATAAATGTGCATTTTTCGTAATTCAGTCTTGTCCTCAATTTTTTGCAGCAGTCTTTGATAAGCGCATTGGGTTCTTGGATGTTGGAGGTTGTTCAGATTGAAGAGAAAATTGCATTGTACTACTCATAGGTGATAATGTTGGGATGTAAAGGAAAGCCAGCATTTTAAATATTATAAAGTACGGGACCAAAAATGTTCCCTTGTGGGACACCGGATCGTATCGGCTATCTGAACGGGACAGCTTCTACAATGCTCGGGTCCAGTGACACTGCCAACTTTCCTTTATCGTATTCTTTCTCTATCGAGAGCTTGGTGTGGAAATTATGGAAGGACGATCGGACTTCATCTGTAATGTGCTTTGACAGTTTGTCAGGGAATTTTGATTGGAAAGATTGGTTGCGCTAGATATTGGCTGGCTTGATGGAACACCACAATTCTACTCCATACTCAAACTGGTCATATATTAGTATCAAGAACCTGTATAGAGTTAGTTGAGTTCTGTCGGTCAAAAATAATTTCGGTCCTAAGTCTTCGTAGTTGTAGTAATCTTCTGTTACGTTTTAGTCTCTTAAGTCTTGTGGAGATTCCACTTCCGCTGTCTTGATATAGTCCTTAGTAACTGACTTGCGTGGAAGTCAGTAGCTCCTTCTTGATACAATGGAGTGCTAAATTGGTTTTCTTCATCATTCAGTCATGTTCTCCACTTTTCCTACCTGGACTTTTCGGAAGGTGTTATTGCATGTCGGAGATTGCATATGATTCAGGTTAAACGAACGAATCTCAGTCTTTCGATGAACAGAAAAGTTAGCAGTGTAAATGGCATTAGGGTGGGGCTAGAAACGCTCCCTTGCGGGGCGACCTCATTCCTAGAGTTTAGTAAAATAATATTAAATAGGGTACTACCGGATATGGATTCGTATCAATTTATTCGTTAATTATAAATTTGGTCTCAATTTCCTGTTACAAATTACAGGTTCATCACCCCGCAATTTAACATAATAAACGTAAAAAAACTGAACAAAACAACAGGAAAAACTTATAATACAAGTGAGTAAGGTAATGATGAGCACACATTAATTAATATTGTACCTAATATAACTGGACTTTATTGGTTGCGATCCCAGTTGTGGGAAGGAGTTCGGCATCACTTCTGATTTTAAGAGGTCTAACTTTAAAACAGTTTGCCAGGATCGATTTGCCCATCCGCCACCCACTATCGATCGAAACCTCTCTCGACTTAGCCATGGCCAACACGACCTGGCATATAACTCTCCCGTGGCGTTACCACTTCTTGCGTGTAGCTTTCGGACCGTATTATAAAAACTTTAGAAAAAGTTAACTAATTACAATTGTACACAAAGTTAATTCATTTTAGACACAGGATCTTATTACACTTATTTCATATCCTGGACTATAAATATACGCAAATATACTCTTCTTTTGAGACAGAGAAAGAGTTAAATCCTCAAAGNTATACTTAACTGTTCATTTCGAAAACATAATTTTAATTGATTTTATTAGGAGAGGAACGACGAAACTGCTGGTTGAATCAACTTACCGTCTTTGTTCATCCCCATGCTCAGACATTTCTTCAGTCTGCACGCTTGGCACTGGTTCCTATGAGCTTTGTCAACAACGCACCGTCCCGTCCCGGCTTGACACCTATGGAACAATTGGACACTTTAATATGTGGTATGTCTACTAAATAGTCAATTTTTCTTGAAGAAAATATTGAAAAACCAACATTTCTGTATTGTGTGAGAGAGCTGGGCAAGTTATAAGTAAGATGAGGGGTGAAAAGAATTACTCGAGTAAAAAGGATTAAGAATAATATAATGGTATAATAAAGTATAATGAGAATCGTCGTACTAGCTATTCTAATGGAATGAAGTGTCTCTTTTCTCGTACGAGAACCTGTTTCTGTCCGATCATTTTCGGTCAGCAATAGTCGTTTCCATTATTTACGCAAATCCAAGTTGATTTAACTTTAATAAAAGACTTTAACTAGAAATCTTACGTCTGAAAGTCTTAAGAACACTAGAAATAAATAGTTTCTTCGCTTTATCAAGTAAGTTGTCTTCGCGAGATGGCCCCTGCGGGGTGTTGTGCCTGCAGTTTGGTCATTTCCGAGTATTTTCGGTCTTACTTTCCTGTTTTTTTATTGTTATTATTTTCTTTTGTCTGGCAAACATTAAACCGCTTCACTGAAGATGGCGTGAAGCCGAAACGCGTCTGACAGTCTCAAGAACTCCTAACAACAGTTTCTTTTTTTTGTCAATCAAGTTATTCTTCGTAAGATGTCATCATAGGGTCTGCCGCTGTCGAGCCTGTTTGGTCGTTTACAATCATTTCCCGTTTGCCCGTTCTGTCCTTTTTGGCCTGTCAAACATTAACCCTACAGCTGAAGATGGCGAGAAGCCGAAATGGGTCTGAAAATTTCAAAAATTTCTGCAGTAAACATCTTTTTATCAAGCAAATTTTTCGTCGTGACATGTCCTCTTGGGATCAGCGGGGTGTAGTGCAAGCAGTTGGTCGTTTGCAATCGTTTTCCTTTTCCCCTGTCTGTTTTGGTCATTCAAGCGTCAAACCCCCAACTGAAGATGCGTGGAGCCGAAACGCGTCTGACAGTCTCAAGAACGCCTGAAATAGACAGCAGACTTTTTTTTATCAAGCAAGTTATTCCTGGTGTTCAGCTTGTTGTTGGTGGTTTTTGATCATTTTTGGTCAGCCTATCCTATCTTTTTTGGTCTATCAAGCGTTAAACTTAGAGCTGAAGATGGCGTGAAGACGAAAATCGTCTGACAGTTGCAAAAACACCTGAAGTAAACGGTTAACACTTCTATCAAGCTTATTTATCTTGAGATATTTTCATGAGTACTTCCTGGTGTAGAACCTATAGTGTGAACGTTTCCGATCATTTTCGGTACGTCTTTCCTGTCAGACGGGTCAAACACACAACTGAAGATGACGAGAAGCCTTCTTCATCGGATGACTTGAATCTCTGTAAAGGTTCCTCAGTATTGATAAAGCCCTTTCAGAGTTATCATAATATTTGTGATTTTTGACGGAAATTGGAGGCGAACGATATTAAGAGAAAAACAACGCCAAAAGAAATATTTGAACCTACTTTGATAAATAGCCACGTCACAAATTGTGTATTTTAGTAGATAGCTTTCTTTATTTGTAAGTATTGATTTATGTTATTTCCTCGTCATCTTTTTTTTTAATTTGAGTTTTTTATTTATTTCTTATGAAAATATGTTTTTACTGTGGCATTATGGAACTTTTCTCGTATAGGCATTTTTACAAGTGTAAATATTAAAATAAACCGATAAGTATTTATTGTAAATATTTATTATAAATTAATTACATTGTGAAATGATTTTTCGGTTTATTTAAAGAATAACGGAATTGTAATTATTCTGATAATTAAACCTTAATTATCCTTTCTTCTCGCCCCCTTTCGATTTCCCGACCAAATGCGCCGCTTCCAATTTGCAATTAAAAACTACAGCAAACCCTCGCTACACCCTAATTCCTAAGGTTCCACTTTCAATCCCCAGACGACTTTTATTTAACTTATGTTTAATTTGTTTTGTTTCACGGGGGTTACTTTCTAACTCGGGAGCCTCGGGTATTTCCTCCCCAGCTCCTTTCGGCGAAGGGAGATTTTATGCTATTCTTATCCCTTAAATGGGATATTTTTATTGGCTCATCTTCCCAAGATTTCAAACTAAGAGTACCTTTTGTTATAGGATTATACAATTTTTAAATTAATAAAACTGTCTTTTTCTAACGTTTTCCTGCTTGTATGAATATTGTTTTTTTTTTTTTTTTAAATTATATTTTACTGTTGGAATATCATTACAAATTTTAATTAATTTGCTTATTTACCGGAGTTTTTATTTGGTTTTGGGCCTTCGACACCGGACGGATGGTACTTTCCAGGCTTATTTCACGTCAAAGGGAAAATATGAGCGACAGGAAATCAAATCATGATTGTAAAGGGATTGAGGGGGCCGGGGTAGCAGGTCTCTCCCCAGGGAATTGAACCATCAATCCAGGCGGTTAGATTGATTCCACTCGTTGACTATAGACCCGCCACACCTGCTAACCAATACAAGAGTCACAATCCCAGCCCACCCTCGTACCCGATAAAACCCGAATTTCTTATCCGTTTTATTGACTTTTTCCGGATGGAAACATGTGTTATGTTATTATTTTCTATATGTTCCTTGCACAAGGGATAGCGGATTGCAAAATTTTCCTTACTAGTAGTTTTTTTGTTTAGTATTAGCGTCTTAGAGATTTAGCGGGATTCGAGTATTCTCGGTATACTTCTCAGACCCCCCTACATTCACGCCAATAAATACATAGAAATAGAGTAAAAATCACGCATTCACTATCCTAAGTTAACCTAATTGGTTCGAAAAATCTGTGGGAACTCGATGTCCCCCCGACCGTGTCCATACACACTTAGCCACTCATGCAAATAAATACATTCAGACAATCGGGTAGCCACCAGGGTTTTTGATATCAAGCCAGTGATTACTATCGCGCTGCAAATATATAGACAACTAGTCTACTTTGGTGTGTTTCTGGTTACTCGATATTCCACACCGACCGAGTCCATACACACTTAGCCACTCATGCAAATAAATACATTCAGACAATCGGGTAGCCACCAGGGGTTTTGATATCAAGCCAGTGATTACTATCGCGCTGCAAATATATAGACAACTAGGCTACTTTGGTGTGTTTCTGGTTACTCGATATTCCACACCGACCGAGTCCATACACACTTAGCCAATCATTCAAATAAATGCATTCAGACTATCGGGTAGCCACCAGGGTTTTTGACATCAAGGCAGTGACTACTATCGCCCTGCAAATATATAGACAACTAGTCTACTTTGGTGTGTTTCTGGTTACTCGATATTCCGAACACACCCAAACATACAGTAACGTTCGTGCTATTAAATACATCCGCTCAAATTTAGGATCTTATTTCAATCAACGTATTAAAGGGCGGGCCGTATATTGCAAGGGTGCGTCTACATCATTGTAGTGTACTGTAGCGTTTACACAATGACTCCCTCAGCGAGGTTGCTGCTGTCCGTGATAGGTCCTCCGTTGTAGGAGAGAAACCATGAACTGGAGTGTCTCGGGGTTGTTGCCTCAGTGGCCGGATATTTAAGTCTTGAAGATGGGGGCGTCGGTGGCCGCAATGGTTTAGGCGTTGACACGGCGCTCATCACTGTAAGGTAAAGGTCCCGGGTTCGAATTGCCCTGCATTCAAACCCGGCATACTTACAAACGGGCATTTTTTCAAAAACACCGGCACTCCGAGGGTTGATATAACCTCTACTGTTGCGAACCCTCGTTAAAAAAAAGTCTGGAGGATAACAAAAAGGCGGACGAGGCGATTAAAGCCGGGACTTAACCACCGCGATCCGGCGCTCTGACGACTAAAAAGCAATAAACAATATGATAAACAGAAAGTGGCAGCGTTTTGGGTCGGATTGGCACCTCTCGCGTATCAAGAGCAATCGTTAGGTGGCCCGCAGAGTACTTGACTCGTAGAAGAAAGGTCATCCTCACCCTGAACACGCATTCATAAATAAATTTATTAACGATAGGCGAGGTCGACACACTGACTCTTTTGGGCCGAAGCCCGCGTATTTGTCCGGCATGGAGAGAAAGGTTCCTCGATGTATCAATTATAAAATGTGCAATTCCTTGGCTTCAAATAGAGAACGCGTAGGAATGCCACCCAATGTGAAAATTGTGCTTAAGCACGACGGCGAGTATCTAGTTCCTTTGTTTTGATACTTGGAGGAAACAAGTTTGTTTTATTGTATATAGTAATAATAATTTTGTATCTTCAGCGTGTATTGAGAGAAAATGTATTTATTAGCGTGAATCTGTAGTGTGAGAGTATGGATGGCGGCATATTGAGTACCCAATTGGCCATTAATGAGGTTAGTTATATAATAGATGAAAAGGGTGATGGAGGAATATCGAGGAATCCACCACCCTAACCGAGTGAACGATATGTAAATAGGAAAGAATGTTTTTAAGAGTGAGAAGAGTGTCAATGGATTTAGTTTTAGTTATAGAAATTAAATTTCTTATATAAGCTTCAGACTTTCTTTGCGTCTATTATTGTTTTCTTACCAGTTTTTCGAGAATTGAAAGTATTTTTCAAAATTATTAAATTTAACTTTCAATGATACGAAAGAGGCGAGTACTAGGAGTACTTTAATCAACAGTTTCGTCATTATTAAAAGTTCATTTTCAACTTTTTTCTCTTCGAACTCTTTTCAAATTTCTTTAGGGACTTTTATTTATTTAGAAATCGATTAACGGTCACTAATCGCCACACATTTCTTTAGGGACGTTGAAAAAATTAAACAATTGAAACAAATTTATAACAAAAATTGATAAAATACTAATATTTACCAAAAATTGTACATATGTTTAAAAGATGTCGATAAAAATTTATAGAAAATTCAAATATATAAGCGAAAAGTACGCAAATTTAATTCATATTTATTATAATACTTATTAAAAAATAGCCCCAGAACTGTTCATGATTGTCCACCTCCAGCTTTCTTTTGATTTTAGTGCTTGTTTTGATCTTTTGGCGACTTTTTGCTAAA